ACAAACCCCTTTTTCCCTTTACCATTACATGGCTCTAATTTCAATTCTTGCCAACCTGATGACCCAGCTGAAGCAAACCCATTTCCAGGTTCAGATTTTAAAGGTGACCCAGATTCCAAATGGGGCCTATTTGTGGTTTGGGACCCACAATTAAGATCATAGTTAGGGTTTGAAGATGGAGTGGTGGTTCTCTTGTGGAGTGAGAAATGGCCAAATTGTGGCTTGAATTGGAGAGAGAAAGAAGGTAAAATCAAGTTGGAGCTTGAACTGGGGAGAGAAAAATGAGCAGAGAAAACAAGAGGGGAATCGTGTGGAGAACCAAAAAGGCCTGAGCCTGATTTAAGAGAGAGAGAGAAAGGAGAAATGGCTGTTGTTGTGGATGGAGTGTAGGTAAGCTTGAGAGAAGGGCCTGAAGGGAAGTTCGTAGAGAGAGCAAGAGTGAGGTCAGAAATGGACTTTGTTGTGGTGGTAGTGAGGATAGAAGTGAAAGGTTGATTGAGTATTGAAATGGGTAGTTTAGCCTTCAAGAGAGGGTTTTGGATTTGGTGGTCATCTTGAAGATTGAGGGAGAGCTTCATTTTCTTTTTTTAGTACGTTTGGCTTCTTGATGAGTTAAAGATGAACAGAAAGGAAAGTGAAAAAACTTCGATGGGCGGATTTTAATCCTTATCAACAACGGAAACTGGAACTGGACAGAGGCTGTGATTTGGTTTGGGAGTGGAAGAGGGTGAGACAGTTAAAGAGAGCGGTGGTCTCCACACGTTTAGGTTGCTAGAAAAGTCGAATGATACTTTTTCCACAAAGTTCCGGAAGCCAATCTCCAACGAGATAGCTCGCGCCTTTGTCTCGCGGGATAAGAACATTCGCTTTCATGTTTTTTTTTTTTTTTTCTAGCTAAAATTTAGTTTAAAAAAACTATTTTAAGTAGCATTTAAAACTATCATCACATCCATGCTCTTCGAATAAATAACAAATAATAACTTAGGTATTCATAATAAATCTTAAAAAAGAATTTCATACTTTTTTTATTAAAAAATTTCATTCATCAAACACAAGATAAATAAATTATTTATAAAAAATATTAAAAATCACTAAAAAAACTCAAATGTTATAAAAATTTAAAAAACTAAACTCAAGAGTTATGAAAGTTTAAAAAACTCTAATGAACATTTAATATATATAATTATAAATTTTATAATATTTTTTTAAATGATCGTATTCTAAAAATATATCTCATTAAAAACCTTGTAATGAAACAAAATTAAAAAAAATTAAAATATTCTTATATGATTTCTGAATATTTCAAAGTCCAATAAATAATTTTATATTTTTTATATAGAGACTTCAAGCTTCATCTTTGAATACACGAGGATTAAAAAAATATCAAATCACTTTATTAAAACCTTATAAAATAAAACTCAATAAGAAAAAACCTAAGCAAAGAAAAAAAAATATAATTTGAATTGGTTTCATTTCAAAAATACATATTTTATGATAAAATTTTAAAATGATGCACTCCAATATTATAGATAAATTTCTTGAAAATTGAGGAGAGTAAATTTTGTAAATAAATTTGTTAAATTATCATATAATCTAATTTGTCTTATATCAATTTTTTTTCCTTGTTAAAGCTCATGAGTATAAAAAAAACTTTAGTAAGATATATCTTGTTTGGTCTTCTTTCATGTAGCATGCTCTAAGATGAGTGATATAGGCATCATTATCTTCAAATAATATTATGAGATTATTTTTAGTAGTTGACAATTCATTTTTTTTTATATGCTAAATAATTAACCTTGACTATATACATTATCGACTTGCTTCATGGATTGTAATAATTTCTAAATGATTTGATGAAATAGTCACTAATGATAAGTAAAAACTAAATAGAAAAAATTAAAGATAAATATATCAAGATATTTGATTTCACAACACGTGTCATATACTCAGTTGTATTTAATAATTTTATTTTTTAAAATAAATTTTTTATTTAATCAAATAATTATACATGCCAATAAAATATAAAAGAAGTCGTGAACAATAGCTAAAGACTAAACTTAAAAAACAAAGAAATAGATGTAAATCAAGATATTTAATTTTATAAAACAAGTCTTGTATCCACTTATGTCTAATATTTTTTTCCCTATAATAAATTATTTATTAATCAAATAATAATAGAATTTTCATGCACTAAGTCATAGGTTAGAGTATAAAAGATCCTGAAAAAAAAAATATTTTAACCATGAATTCAAAATTAGTTGCATACTAAATGCTATTTTTATCTAATATTGAAATGGAAACATAATGGATTTACTTGAGTAAAATCGAGTTGACCAACAAAACTCACGAGGATAATCTCGCAAAAAACAAATTGAAAAATTCAATCTCTAATTAATTTAATAGTAAAGGATAAAACTAATAAAAAAATCACTAAAAAAACACATAAATAAACTCAAGTAAACCAACCAAATTCACATTACAAGTTATGCACACTATTGGATTCAATAACATTTTTATCCTAGAGATCATTTTTTTATTTAATTATACACAACAAAGCACATGATAAAAAAAAAATTTGTATGGAATGTTTTATAAGTAAAAAACCATGATAAGTGCGTGAAATTGAGCTAGTAAAAGTAGATCATTAATAAAAAATAGTAAAATTATATTTTTTAATTTAAAATTAAATAAAAAAATAGGTAGTTTTGAACTTGAAGTATTTTTTTTTTTACTAAACCAAATGATCATAAAAGTTATTATTCATTCACTTCCAAGATTGAAATAATAAAATAGGCACAATATTTCCTATACATATAGACATTTTATAATTATACCATCATTAAGAAATCAATTAATTCAAAAATCTATATAGAATTACTTGTCACATATTAATATAATTTATCATGATATAATCTAGTAAATGGCATGTCAATAGTCTATTTATCATTTGTTTTACTATTTTATATTGATTAGTTGATGCTTAAGTATTATATTTTTTTTAGCAATGCAATATCTAATTGCTTGACATTGTAGTTTGAGTGTTCTTTAAAATAATCTACCTAAAAAAAATCAAATTGATATTTTTTTAGATTTTTTATGATTTTAATATAAGAATGTCAAAACCATTAAAAAAATCAATTTAATATTTTTAAGACAAAAATTATTTTAAAAAATATATTTAATCAACCATATTACTAAACAAATTAATTTAGTTACTTAGATCACCATTCTTTAAAAGTTTTGTTAGATTTTTGTAGAAAGTAACTAAACTATCTTTGAGTTTATTTCAATCAATATACAATAAAAAAGTAAATTTTAAAAAGAAAAAATAACTCAATTGATGACATTTTCAATGTCTTTATTAAGGGATACTTAATGCGTGGACTCAATTACAAAAGGAAATAAAAATATAAGGATTTTATTTAGCTTTCCAAACCACAAAACTAACCATTTATTTGCAAAAAAATTAAATATGGATGAGATAATAATTTACTATGCATACTTCAAGAGCTCGGTTATATTTTAAAATATTTTTTATTTTAAAATATATTAAAAAATTAATTTTAATATATGAAAACAATATGAAAAAAATAAAAAAAATATTTTTTTAAAAATAATTTTAAAACATAAAAACATGTTGGGAGTTAACTTTTTAATTCTCCATACAGTCAAAGTTTATTTTTGGAGTTGGGATCCACTCCTCATCAGTTGCGTGCCTCACTGCTTCCCGTAAAATGACTTATTAAAAGAAACAAATAAATTAGCTAGAAGAGAAGCAGATAAATGAATAAAGAGAATATCCTAATCCAACCGGAAATAAGCAAATGCATCGCCTTCTTTTCAAGTATCGTTTATGCAGCTTTGCAAAGCAAAATCCAACCGCTGCAATCAAGAGCTTTTTCTCATGACAAGACTAGGCAAGCTACCCACAAGAACAAATAACTGGGCATGAATAAAAACGAAGAAACTGTGGAGATGAAATAATTCTGGCCAAGACAATCCTCCCTCAGCACATGCTTGACAACGGCAGAACAATGCAGCTGCCTAATGTAGAATAAAGAAAGGATTATGCAGAGAGTTTACAGATTGTCATAACACACATTGAAAAAGAAAAGGATATACTTCAGTGATAGAGATTCAGGATTGTGGGGTGCATATTTGCTTAGCAATTATGAACCTTTCATTTATCAAAGAACATCTAAGCTCAAACTAGTTAAAACGACACATACTGGAGAAGAATAGAACACATGCTGCTTGTAATAAGTAGATTACTTATTAATGCACAAACCAGGGCAAATACTAGCAGTCATAATTCCTTCAACAGGAAAGCATACCTATCAATAGTTTATATTTACCACAACCATCAAGTGTATCATTGATTACAATGTTTGGTACTCCAAAAAGCTGTAAGAAAGGATGGTATAATGTCAACGCCCGGGAAAATCTCGCAAAGCTTGTATTTACAATAGCAAAATGGAAAAGGAACTCCCTAGGTTCTGTGTAAAGGAAATGTGCCGTGTGAGGAAATATTCATTTATAGACAGAAAATACAGAGATAAACAAAATAGCTACAATCATGGAGAATCACTGATATCTTGGTTATTATCAGAAGAATCTGATTTTCCTCTAATATCCCCCTCAAAGTTGGCGTGGTGGAAAAGGCACAACTTGCCACGATCCAATAAAAACTGTAATCTGGCCATCCCTTTTGTGAAAACATTAACCAGCTGGAGGTGTGAGGTGACAAAGCTGAGACCAATAACCCTTTGAGCAACAGGTTCCCGAATAAAATGATAGTCAATATCAATATTTTTGGAGCGAGATTTGGACATCGAGTTGGAAGCAATGAAAATAGCATTGTTTTTGTCGCATAAAAGTCTGGGAGGAGAAGAAAGACTGATTTGGAGTTGTCTGAAAAGTTTAAGCATCCAAAAGAGTTCCGCAACAACGTAGGCAAGAGCATGGTACTTGGCCTCAGCACTAGAATGGGCAACAGTAGTTTGCATTTGAGAGCACCATGAAATCAAATTACAGCCAAGATAAACAACAAATCCAGTTCAACAACTGTCAAGTGTCGAGATAGCCAGCCCAATCAGAATCAAAGTAGCCAAGCAAGGTCCAAGAAGAATCCCATGAGAGTTGCAGGCCATAATATATTGATTCATAAACCACATATTCCACACTTCACAAGACGGATATAGAATGTACCAAGAGCTATAAACGACCTCGTTTTCTCCAATAATCTTGAGCAAGATTTGTAGCAACAACTTTAAAAGCATATTCATCTTCAAATAGCCAGTTCATAATGGTTTGCCTTCCATGCTTCAAGCCCTTATTCCCCATGCACTAATGATTCAAGAAACAATAAAAAAAGAAATAAATATAAAGAAATAAATTAAAAAGAAAAAGAAAAAATCAGAAATGGTTTAACCATTTCGTTCAAATCTTAATTCAGCAACTGTTCATCGCACCTGTTTCTCCTCTTTCCATTTCATTCTCTTCTGAATTGAATAATGGTTTCACCATCCTATCCAACATGGAGTATATTTCTCTCATCTCTGAACAAGATGGATTCCCAACAATAAACTCATGGACTATGCCATCAACCTCAATTGAGCTACAACCAGGTACCTTTTTTACTCCAAGATCTTTCATTTCACGTCTCACCCTGTTTACATCCACCCATCTACCAGCAGAGGCATAGATATTTGCGAGAAGCGTGTGAACACTAGAGTCCCTTGACTCAATTTTCACAAGCTGTTCAGCCACCCGCTCACCCATTTGAACATTTTTATAGATTCTGCAAGCACTGAGCAAAGAACCATAAAGCGGAACTATGATCTCATTATTTGCGTTCACTATTTTTTTTATCAACTCTTCTGCTTCATCCAATTGTCCAGCTCGACCAAGTAAGTCAATCAGACACCCGTAGTGCTCTAACTTAGGCTCAATATTATAAATACTTGTCATGGAATTAAAGAACTCACGGCCTTCTTTGACCAGTCCTCCATGGCTGCATGCACTTAAAACACCAATGAAGGTAACTTCATCAGGTATGGCCTCGACTTGTTTCATTTTTGAGAACAATTCAAGTGCCTTGCTTGTTTTCCCATTCATAGCAAGCCCACATATCATTGAAGTCCATGTAGCTGTATCTTTTTCTCTCAACCCACAGAAAATCCTCAAAGCTTTTTCAATGCACCCACATTTGGAATACATTTCTATAAGAGAAGTTCCAACAACTGCATCAACTGGAATTCCTTTCTCGTCTATGTATCCATGAATCCAAGTCCCCTGCTCAAGAGCTCCCATTTGAGCACAACCTGTGAGAAGAGCAACCAGTACAAACTTATCTGGCTTAACCCTTTGGATTTGCATTTCTTGAAACAGGGCCACAGCCTCGTCAAAATGATTAAACTGCACATACCCATTAATCATCGCCGTCCAAAGAACAACGTCCCTAACTGGACTCCTCTCAAACAACTCTCTAGCCTTATCCAGCTCACCGTAGTTTACATAACCTGACACCATACTAGTCCAACAAATAACATTTTTATGAGGCATCTCGTCAAATATTTTTCGGGCTACACTCAAACAACCACACTTACAGTACATGTCCAATAATGCACTGCCAATAATAGAAGTGAGTTCAAGTCTATCCCTTACATAACAATGAATTTCCTTGCCGAGTTCCAAGCATTTCAATGCCGCACAAGCTGAAAGAGTGCTCACCACCGTAGGCTCATTAGGCCTCAAATAACTCTCTTCTCTCATACAACAAAAAACATCAATAGCATCCTCAAATCTTCTACGCTTAACATACCCGGAAATCAACACATTCCAAGAAACCACATCTCTCTCAGGCATTTCATCAAACAACTTCCTCATAACATCCACTTGACCCAATTCAGCATACATATCAATGAGTGAGTTACACACATAAGTATCAGATTCAAGCCCGGTTTTCATCACAAATCCATGAAGTTTTTCAGCTTCTAAAACATTTCCTAAGCACCCAATCGCCTTCAAAACAAAAGGGTAAGTAAAATTATCAGGCCACAGACCATCCTCCCTCAATTTATTGAACAACATTAAACATTTTCTAAAGAAACCCTTCTTTGCAAAGGCTTTAATCATAATATTATAAAAAAATAAACCTGGGTTTTGAATATAATTGAAGATTCTTTCAGCATGAACCAAGTTTCCATTAGATGGGTCTGCACAAAAGACCATGAGCTTCTTAAGAGTGTCTGTGCTTTGATGGAGGCCGCCCCGGAAAATCTGGGCCTGGATTTGTTTAAGCTGGTTCATTGTTTTGCAGTGTCGAAGAAGAGAGATGCAGCATTGCTGGTTGAGCTTTGTGGATTTTGCAAGAGTAGAAATTTTTTTGGGTCTTGAGAAGCACTGGCGGGAAAGTAACCGCATTAAGAGAAGGGTGTTGCCTTCAGTAAGGCATGTTGACATCCTGTTGAATGGCAAATATTTGTATTACGTGTCCGTCGCAACCTTTTATAGTGTCAAAAAATATGAGGCTCGTGGGATTAGTCGTGGTGCGCGCAAGCTGGTCCGGACACCCACGTTAGTCAAAAAAAAAAAAAAAATATGATGTGACCCTCGACAGTTTAGATTACAGTTGCTTTAAAACCCGCGCTAAATCTAGAATAAGATTTTAGATTAATTTTTAATATAATAAAAGAATATATTAATATTATAATACATTTTACTGTTTCCTTTTTTAATTAAAAAAATACAAAAATCTTATTTATGTTTAATAAAATAAAATTTAAAAATAGATAAATGTGAAAAAAAAATAATGCTAATTAAATACTAAATTGTTAAGCCAATGTTTTTTCTGAAAAAAAAAAGAGATGAATATGTAAATGTTTAACACTTACTTTTCTTTTGAATTTATGTATTTTTTAATCTTAAATATTATTTTTTATTATTAAGAATCAGCTATTTTAAAAAATTACCTCATGCAAATACAATTCATTTACATTAGATATAAAAAATATAAATTATTATAGTCTCTTTAAAATATTATAAAAATTAAAAATAAATTAAAAAATAACTGTTATATTAAAAAAATGACAAAAATATTAAATTAATTAAAATTGATATAAAAATTAATTTAAACTAAAAACTAAGAAAGAAGGAATATTAATTAAAAAAATATAAAAGAGAGAGAAGGGTAAACATGTACTCCAAGCCAACTATTCTAGCTCAAGCTTAATTAGGCTTGAAACCCCAAGTTTTTGTTTTTTTTTTTTTACAATAAAAGGGACATATAAAATTTCATTTGCTTTTTTATTTTTAAAAAATAAACTAAGTAATATATCACTTGTTATCTAATTTTTAAGCATTAGTGGTGAAAACCTACTAGAAACTCAAGTTTTCAACTTTTAAATAAAAAATAATTTTCAACTAATTTCTCACAAGAAACACTCTGTAAATCTTAATATACCAATGTACGACTTTACTAGCATATAAACAGTCTAAAATAATTGTAATGAAGAGTTTTGATTAAAATATTTATATAGTAAATTATTTAATAATAAAATTTTGAATTAAGGTTTGTGATATGACCTTATTCAACATACTTTGTTGTTGGATGTTTTTATTATTTTTCTTTTATTATTTTTATTTGTATTAGTTGGTATTAAAACCCAATAATTTTAGATTATTGCTTGTTATGTGCTACAACCTCGTGGCTATTTGTTTTCTTGTTGTGTGTTCCAACAACTATGGTAATAAGAGGTTACAAAGTAGAGTGTGGTTAAAAAGAGGAGGAGGAGATTCTTTTAAGAGAGAAAAATGTTCACGAGCTCGTGATAAAGAATATCTAGAGGTATGTTATAAAGTTGACTCGTTTGTTAGGCCAAAGAGATTTATAAAAACAAGGTCAAAAAAAGAGTGGTCATAAATCTATATAGGCAATACCATAAACACTTTCCAGGAGAAATAACAGAGGAGGCAGTTTATTGATCAAGAAGAAAATTCAATTAGAGATTTTGAATTAAAATCCCTAAATTTATGGAAACTTAACAAGCAAAGGAGTTCATATATTGGTTAAAATGAGGTAGAATGAATTTTTAGTACAAAGAGGTTCGAATAGGAAAGAGTACAATTGGTTAAGATTAGATTGAAAAATTAGGCTTCTCCCTTGTAAGAGCAGTTAAAAAAGACTAAGGAGAGACAAGAGAAATTGAAGATTAATAACCAGGATAGGATAAAAAAGAAGATGAAGGATAATTTCCTCCCCTTTTGGTGTACGTAAACCCTATACTAAAGGCTCCACACACTAAGATAAGGAGTAAGTTAATTAATGAGTATATTGATGAGTTCTTCCGGTCAGTGACAATGAATGATTCATCAGAAATAGAAAAGCAGCTGGTTGACACGTACTTAAATGAATTGCGATAATCCATTTAAGACATGATGTGTTTGTAATTTTTTTGCACAGTTTTAGAAGCCTATTAAAGGGCTTTAATTATGGAGAAACAATAAGTTATCAAGGTAACTAATAAATGTGGAATAAGTTATCAAGGTAACTAATAAATGTGGCTTTGGGTTTGACCAAAATAATAGAGAGGTGACAAAAATCTTTCATTCAACCACAATCAGCATCTAAATAAACCACATATCAAGATTCTAGTTTTATATTTTGGTGTTTTAGATATGGTGAGTTGGAATATCAAATTGCTGAATGCTATAAGATAAAGAGTCATTTTAGTTAAAATGAGTTTGTAAAAGAATTTAATAAAGAGAAAGGTAATCTTATTTATGATGTTTCAGATGTTAGTAAGAAGGTTTTGTAAGATAGTAATAATGTTACCTTAATCATTCAAAAAACATGTTTACTTTTAAGAATAATTCGAACGAAGATTGGCTACACGCTAATCTCTTCCATTCAACTTATGCTATTAAGAACAATGTATATAATTTGATTATTAATAATGATATTTATAAGAACATGGTGTTGATTGAGGCAATAAAAAGTAGCTCAAGAAAAAACATTTCAGGCCCTAGAAATTAAAGTGGTTGAATCAGTATAGCATGGTAATCGTGAACCAACATTGTCTTGTTTTATTTTTTTACAAGTAATATATATTTTGATAATATGATGGTGTGATATGATATCTATGAATGCATGTCATCTACTATTAGACAAACCATAACAATATAACAAGAATGACATGCATGACAAACCACATAATATATATATTCTCAATGTAAAAAGAAAGCGTATAATATTGGTGTCCAAAAAAGAAAACAATTGTTGAAAACAAGGGTTAAAATATGTTATTTTTATCCTAGTTTATAAAGAAAAATGAAAAGGAGATTAAAGAGTATCAGTATGGTGTGAAAAATAATATGATATAAAATAAACAACTTATGATTAGTGATGGATTTGTAAAAATTAAAATTATTTTAAAAATTAATTTTTTATCTACTTTATCTGAGTTAACTAATTTTATAGTACCAACACGTCAGATATTAACACAAGAATTCTAAACTTTTTTTTTAATAATTGAAGACAACATCACCATACGTGGATGTTTAATTTTTTTTAGAGTTAAAATAAGTTTCACGGCTTACTCTTTCAAATTTACTATATTTTCCTACTTGATTTAAAACTATATTTTTTATTTGAATTAGATTTTTTTTCAGCTTTGTCTGTAATTTTTTCCAAGTATATAACCAGCCTAAAATAATTGTAATAGAGATTTTGAATAGAATATTTGTGTGATGAAATATTGAGTAACAACAAAATTGTTTGTTGTTTTTCTTTTATCATTTTCGCATGCATGAATAAAATAATAACTCAATGAGGTAAATTAATAATTCAATACGTTCCTTCTCGATGCATGTAGATGGATGTGAGAATGTCAGTATTCACGGCTTTCGTCTTTCTCCTCCAAGGTCAGCGGCTAAAACCTCTCGTCTTCTTTGTTCTGGCTAACCCATAAAATAAATAAATAAATAAATAAAAATCACGAGTGAAGCATAATTACAACCTTATCCTTTTATTCCCAGGAACATGTGGACTATAATTTTCCCGAGCTGAGATCTTCATGTCGTTGTCTCCACTCTCAACAGGAAAGTATTTGCATGAAGCGCAGCACGTGCCTGGCTCCCTCGATATTCTCGACGGATGAACAGAATATACCAAGCCTTAATTATAAATATTTGCGCGTACAAATTTGATATACTCGCCGGCAGTGGCAAGAAAACGTCGCCGTCTGATGACAAAATCGACACGTGTTCGAGTTTGTTTTGAATTATAAATATCTGTAGGAGCTGAGGAGTTTGTTAGCCTTTGTTATCTTCGCCGTTCGATGATGGTTAGTACACGTGGCGGAGATCCGTGGTGTTTATTATGAGATTGTCGACAGAGACCGTTGAGACGATATTTTCTATGATCGGGGGAGCCTAAGACAAGCAAGCTTTCTTGTTTTTGTGATGCCCTGATGATTGAATAAATTAAACCCACGTGCCTCTTGCCGCTCGTTACGCACAGCCATTTGTATTAGCGTTTAAAATTTTATTTTATTTTTATTTAAAATTGAAGGTGGTATTAATTTTTTTTTTAAATTAAAAAAATAATTATTTTAATATATTTTTTAGTAAAAAAAAATTTAAAATATAATATTTATCCTATTTCTAACCAGACACTTATTATAATGCTATATTCAGTATATCTTAAAATCAGTTGAATTTTTTTAAATAAGTAAAAGTTAGCAATCTTCTTTAACTTGATTATTTGGACCCAAAAAAGAAGAATATTTTTTTATAATGTATTTATTATTTAATTTAATTTGAAAAATCAAATATTATGTTTCTTAATTTTATTTAGTTTAGAAATCCTTATAATAACTCTATCTTTATTTATTATGATTTTTTCTCCTCCATCTCAAAATAGACATAAAACTAGTATAAATAATATTATTTAATTGTATTTTAGCAAATTACTTGAATATGATATATTCAATAATAAAATTTTAAATTAATATTCTCATGTGGTGATTAATTCAATTAGATCCTTGTTGTTTATGTTTATAATCCTTTTTATGTTTTTCTTATATTAGCAATTATTATAATACTCAGACAAGCATTTTTCAGGACTGAAATAATTATATTTATTATATAGTTGGTCATGAACTCTATATAAATCATGCATCACAAGGCATTCATTAAAAATCTTAAAAATACTATGTCCGGTCAACAATTTTCAAGTGTCACTCCAATCTAGAAATAAATATTATATGCTATAGTACTAGTTCCCATGTAATAAATAATGTACAATTTATTATAAGATAAATAAGGGTAGGATTTAGGGATTAAAATTTAATATAAATATGATAGATATCGACTTGACCTGAAATATATAAATAATATTTATTATTTTATCATTTAATATACATATACATACTTCAAATATAAATACTAACTATTTTATTTTTTATTAATTAATATATAATACTAAATAATAAATACTCATTGGATATTTCAATAAATAATTTATTTATATCTAATTTTTTATTAAATAGATAGTATAGAAAATATAAATATTAAAATTTTTGACTCGCGGATATCCTTCTCTACAAGGATCTATGGAGAAAAAAGAAATTTATTAAGATAATAAATTACACAAAACATAATAATGTAAATAACTCACAAAGTAAACGGTGTCACACACTCGCAACCCTGCGAGTAAGATAGTAGTTTTCTCCGTTTGAAAAACTCCCACAGGCCACAGGGAAGCCAACTGTCCTAACAAGAATAGAACTCTCTATTAGTTTTCTCATTGTTTTTTTTTTTCAAGTAGCAGAGCCGCATAACGCAAGCGCTTCCCTCTCTATAAACACTGTCGCTGTTTCTCTCAGGAGCTTATCAGTCTTCATTGGCCCTCCCCTCTCCTTCTATCTCTACATTTATATCACGGAGCAGGAAAAGCCAAAACCTGAGAAGAAATGACAACGATCAACAATATGTCGACGAGAATGTGTAGGGATCATCGGATTTTGTCGTCGTCGGGTAACTTGAGTGATGTGTTTGTGTTAGAATCAAGGTTTAGAAAGAGATGTTTCTTCCAAAATTCCAAATTTACAGTTAGATCTATGAAAGTCAGTGAGCAGAACCAGACGAGAAAGCTTGCGTCTTCTAACGGGCCCTTAACGGGTTCTGTGAGTTCTTTTTATGCTCTTTTATTTTTCTTTTATGGACTATATACCCTGTTTGGATTCTGAGATGCTATTCGGAGAGAGATGAAAATATTTTATTTTGAATTTGGAGATTTTTTTTTTCCCACTGAGCTAAAACTTGAAATTTTGGCTTGCTTTAGTATGGAGGACAGTGTTTTGTTTATCATTAATAATCAATTTGATGTAGTACAGAAAACTAATAACTGAAAAGGCTGCGCATCAATCAATTATAGCGTGGAAGTTGAATAGTTATGATAGGGACATCAACTTCCCAGGGAAACATCTTGTTAATAGCGTAATCTTAATTAAGCATTCACCTTCAGTGATTATGACTTATACTTGTTAACTGGGGAAGATGGAAGAACTCTTTAATCCTAGACTTGCAAAAACGACACGTCAAATGCTCTGTTTTGTAGTGCTGTTTTATTATACTATCCTGCTTCTATCTTTTCCCTTTCGAGTGTTAACATTTTGTTTGTTTTCTTTGCAAGTTTGTAACTTGAGATTCTATTGTTTTAGGAAAAGGTGAGCTCTCCTTTTGAGCTTCTGACCAACAATCAAACTCTGGGAAAGGAAAATATAAATCCAATTGCTCGAAGGAAAACAAAAATAGTTTGTACAATTGGTCCTTCCACAAGCTCGCGTGAAATGATATGGAAACTGGCAGAAACTGGAATGAACGTGGCCCGGTTGAATATGTCGCATGGAGACCATGCTTCCCACAAGAAAACTATCGATCTGGTCAAAGAGTATAATGCACAATCCGACGACAATGTTATTGCCATAATGCTAGACACTAAGGTATATTGATTTAAAATCTTGATTCAATTTTTCTCCTTATCGGCTTCTGATCAACAGATATTTAATAAATTCAAATCTGATCATTTTATCCTTGTTTCTGTGGTGAAACCGATTTATGATCATTTGTTACTACATAACCAATTTGTTAATTTTTAACCAAATATGTAGTTGGGGTGTCAGTGAAAGCTTGTGGGTTTCTCCTTTCATTTCTATTATTTATATTCACCAAGCGACATCTGAGTTCGGATGCCCCAAGTTTTCTTCGGAATGCGTTTTGGGGGAGTGTGTTCGAAGAGGTTTAGTGATTGCATGCCAAGAAAGTTGCACAGCAATTATTGCCATTGGTTCAAATCCACTCATCCAACATCACGCTCTGTGTTCTTGCCTGATGTGCTGCATGTTTAGACCTACTGTGAAAATGTCAAAGTCCTATGTGTTTTTTAATGTAATGCAGGGTCCCGAGGTTAGAAGTGGAGATGTGCCTCAACCAATTATTCTCAAGGAGGGACAAGAGTTTAATTTCACCATCAAAAGAGGAGTCAGCACTGAAGACACTGTTAGTGTAAACTATGATGACTTTATAAATGACGTGGAGGCTGGGGACATGCTACTGGTGGATGGTAAGTGATCATATTCTACACTGGCTTTTCATTGATTGTAGGTCAGTTTTGTTATCTCCGTACTTCTGTACCATCTGATAGGTGTGGTGTAATTGGAATCTATAGTTAGAAATAGATGAGTTGTATAATAGAAAGATGTATATGATAATAAAAACCAGAAACACATCTATAAATCTCTAATTTCAATAATTGAGTTGAAGTGGTATATGCGTTTTCTTTTACTTTCTGAGAACTTTTTACAATGGCCAATATTTATGTATGATGGCCATATGAGGAACTGGACTGGCTTGGAGGCCTCACAACTACCAAATTATCAGGAAACCTGTGTGATTTTTTCTTAATATGGATAATTCATCATAGATGGAAAAAGTTAACCAGCTCATTTTGTTATTTCTCTTTTGGACTTGCTTTTGGAATTTGCAAATTGTTATTAATGGATTGGTAGATGGCTTTTCTTACAGTATGTATGTTAGTTGCTAGTACTGTATGGTATGGCTTTTCTTACAGTATGTATGTTAGTTGCTAGTACTGTATGGTAGCATAATGCACTTTATTTCCTGATGTTTGGATTCTATTCTATACGTGGATTCTCAAGATCATGAATCAGCTTCTATTTCTTTCCTGTTCCCATCTATTGACAAAGGGAATGCTCTACAAAGAATTCTCTGAAGTCTAATGTTCCTTTGCTGGTCACAAGACATGAAGAGCTATTTTCTGTGAATTTTATAGGTGGAATGATGTCATTGTCTGTGAAGTCAAAGACAAAGGATGCAGTTAAGTGTGTGGTAGTTGATGGTGGAGAACTAAAATCAAGGCGCCATTTAAATGTGCGGGGAAAAAGCGCAACTTTGCCTTCAATTACAGGTTTCTTATCTGTTTCAATTTCTTATTGTAACAGTATGATGTGAAGATTTAATTATTCATTTATCCTCTGTTATCTTCTGAACACTATGCTCTATTTTTGTGTGCTACGTTGTCATTATCTACAGACAAAGACTGGGAAGATATCAAATTTGGGGTGGATAACCAAGTTGATTTTTATGCCGTGTCCTTTGTAAAGGATGCAAAAGTGGTTCACGAGTTGAAAGATTATCTCACAAGTAAAGTTTTTTCTCCATATAAACAGGTCTTCAAGTTACAGCTACATTTGAGAGTTCATGTCTCTCCAATTTGTCTATTTGAACTGTTGCAAACATCATGCAGGCTGCAATGCTGACATCCATGTGATTGTAAAAATTGAAAGTGCTGACTCTATACCAAATCTCCAGTCAATAATTTCTGCATCAGACGGGGTCAGTTTTGATATTCTTAATGGATTATTGTAGATCTATCTATCTATCTACATGTGTTTTAGAGTTCTTAATGGGAGACTACAAATTTCTCTTCTTTGTGTGAAGATGTGTTGGGTGCACTTACCTTGTACATGTGTTCATGTGTGTTATCTATTGCTTGGTATAATAATGTTCAGTTCACTTTTAACTGTTTTTCATTGGTTTTGAAAGGCAATGGTTGCTCGTGGAGACCTCGGTGCTGAACTTCCAATAGAGGATGTCCCTTTATTGCAGGTAATTGAACAGAGAATGTGGCATGTCCAATAACAACTTCCATAGTGCACATAATACATGCATGTCAAATTTGGATCTGGGACTTGATTAAGATGGAAAAGCCTGAGGTTGAGACTCACCTCTTTCTTGGATATATGGAGTTATTTCTGAATCTAAGAAAAAAGATTATAGTAGTAATAGCTTGAAATGAATTCTTGAGATTCTACATATGGATCAATTTTGCATTTTGTCACATTTTATTTGCCGATTTAGTACATGTTGTAAGGAAGGGTGCAAAAGGATCCATAAATCCGACCCCAACTAGTTTGGAATTGAGGCTTGGTTGCTTTTGTTGGTGGTCATCTAAATTCACTTATTTCTTAGCATAACCTGCTTGCCATGCATGGTTGATCCTACCTGGTAAAATCATGGTAGGTGAAACTGCTATCCTTACCCAAATGTAGCCTTAAAAACTACTAACAGCAGTTACCTTTTTAATACTTGTCTTGTTTAGAGTTTAATCACTTCACTTGAATTCTTTGTTTAGTCAAGTGCTTTATGATCATGCAAACAGGAAGACATCATTAGAAGGTGTCACAACATGCAGAAGCCTGTTATTGTAGCAACAAACATGCTGGAAAGCATGATTGATCATCCTACACCAACAAGGGCTGAGGTTTCTGACATAGCAATTGCAGTACGTGAAGGTGCTGATGCAGTCATGCTTTCAGGAGAAACTGCCCATGGAAAGTAAGTGAAATTGGTCCGAATCAAGTGATTCAGAAAACAGCAACAGAATATTTTTCTTTTCTTCTGTCCTTTTCTTCCCTCTCTGTGTTTGATGACAGAACAGAAACTGGCAACATAATGTTTTTCTGGCTAGTGGAGAGCTGGCTCAAATTTCTAGACTGCTTTGTGTTGCAAGCCTTCAGCTATTATAGGATATATAGTCTTACCACTCGGTTGATTTGGCTTTCAGCTTTACTGTTGGCACTTCCATTGGCCTATCATTGTGCATTACTGAGTGCCATCCAGCACCTACTAATGGCAATTGCTGCTATGGTGAGACTCAATGTCAGTTGTCTACCATTGCTGGAAACAATCACCAGCCACCTAAATTCCATCTAAAATAATGATAACATATGATTTTTTCTTAAGATGGATCAGAAAATTACAAAATCATTTTTAAAACATGTTTTCCATCAAAAATATTTTTCAGCGAGCACATTTTACGAGCTTATTGAGTTACATAAAACTAGAGAAGTTCCCTTTTTTAAAACCTTCAAGCGCCAGTAACACGATATAAGTTTGACTTTCATGCTCTCTCTCTGTCAAGTCATAGTTCATATTTCAATTAGCTCCTCTGATGAAAGGAGTATGAAGATATCATCAATGATAGTGGTGGTTAAGTCTCAGTATGGCGCATCATTATGATAACTAACTCATAATTGTTTTTCTGGGTAATCTTGTATTATTACTAAGAATTTTGATCCTAACAGGTTTAATGGCATGTTTCACAATCATGTTTTACTTAGTTTCCTCATCCCAGTTATGATTTTGTTTTCTCAATCTTTCATGCAGACAACTTAATTTTACTTTTCTCTTGCAATGGATTTATTTGTTATTTATGGCAATGAATATAGGTATCCACTTAAAGCTGTCAAAGTCATGCACACAGTGGCATTGAGAACAGAATCAAGTCTGCCATGTAACACAACAGCTCCAACCCACAATGTCTATAAGGTATGCATTGAGAGAGAGGGGGGGGGGGGGGTTTTAATTTTTT